GTGAAGTCCAGCCCGGGGAGGGCGCCACCTTAATCCCGAGCCCACAGCTGTGAGGGGGAGAGGTCACTGTCTGACCTGCTCGTGGCCTGAGGTTAGGTGACCTGCTGGGGAACTCAGATGGCAGGTGACACACCAAGCCAATCAGCTCTGCTCTGGGGAAGACGGAGGCCAGTCCACCGGAGAGGCCTTCCCCCAGCTGCCTCCCAGTGTGCCCGCCTGCACTGTGGCACCCCCAGGCCTGGAAGGGAGACCGGCCGGCGGGATGGACCTGAGCCACCTCTGCCGCTTGCTCACCTGCCCTGCAACAACCCCCAGCATCAGAGGGTCTCTGGGCATCACTGCCACCACTGCCACAAGCAAGGTCCTCGGAGATGCAGGGTGACAGCATGTTCAGCTGCTGGTCAGCAAGTCCGAATAATGCCAATGACTCATGAGAGGCCTCATGGGTGCCGGGGGCCACTTACCTCTAAGCAGCAGGGCGGCCCTGTGGGAGGTGTCACCTCCAGCTCACAGGTGAGGACCTGCCCTGGGTCCCAGCTGGTCCCGCATGTCTGAGCCCAGGGCTGGAGTTCTGATTCTTGAAGTGGTATTTTTTACAACAAAAATTGTACTTATTTTTAAGTATTTTTATTTCATAACATTATTGGTTTTATGGGGTTTGTGTTGTTCTGCTATTTTTGACAAGGTTTCTTCCTGTAACCCAGGGAGATATGGCAAGTTCTGACTATAAAATTCCATGTTTCACACATGCTGTAGATGGACTTCAATTACTTCATACATTTTGTCTGCTGCTTCTTTTTTTATTCATCTTCTGCTTGAATTTGCACCTCGTTTGCTGAATATTCCAATGAAAAGTGTGGGAGCTTCGGCTGGGGATGAGGGCGGAGGGTATGGCCCCCAGGGCTCCTTCAAACAGGGAGAAAGGGGTATTTCATAAGAGGCTGTGCACTTGCATTTATTCGGAACCGTTTGCATGTCAAGAATGAAGCTGTTGTGTGGCTCCTGTTGAAGTCTGTGATGGCTGATGATCTAAAGCATGGATGCACCTCAGCAATCCCACGTGTGTCTCCCGCATTCCTGATGTGCAGCCTCTCAGAGGTGTTGCTTGAAAAGCTCCTTCCCCGGTCCAGTCTCAGTCCCTCCTGCTAAGACAACCCTATGAGCAAAGTCTCTCTTACAGTGAACAAGCAGACATCTGAGGACATGGCCTTGTATAACTCTGTGAAACACATAGTGAAGGGAAGTCAGTGTGATCCAAGACCTCCCTGAGGAAGACAGCAGGGTTGGGCTGCAGGGGGCTCACAATACAGCAGGGCGCTCAGGAGACACTGAGCACAGGTTGCAGGCCAGGTGCAGGTTCAGATTGTCCTTAAGGGCTAGTTTCCTGCCAGGTGTGGGGTTACCTCTTCAGTATCTGAATTACAGGGTTTTATTGTAGTAGGAGGAAATGTTTGTCACACGCACAAAAGGCAGAGTCAAATGCATTTGCTTACTCTTGTGCCTCAATGCTAATTAATCATAAAATCTTCTGAACCAGGTCCCCTAAATCTATCAAGAGGCTCTGCTAACTCAACAGTGCAGCTCAGCCCCACACAGCTCAGGTCCCAGCCTGCCAGCAACAGGACATGTGTGTGCTGGACAGCGGGCACCAAAGGAGTGTGACCCTACACTCCTAGGACAAAGCTAGAGAAGGGCCCCGGGTGGTAATGGTCATTGCCTTGGCATCATGCTCATAGCATTGAGAGTGGGTGACACGAGGCACAGGCAGAGGGGCCCAGAGCGGCTTGGTACAGATGTCCGGGGTGATGACAAATGCACACACCAGGGATGTGCAGTGGTTATTAGGTGCACAGTGGGAATCCCTGGGAAGCACAGGAAAGCCCTTTCAGGAAGTTGGATGAGCTTTGATAGAGCCAGGAAAGGAGCCTGGCTTCTGGCTTTGATTTTGTAGATGTGGAGGGAGGGGAGGAATTCTCCTTACAGAGGCCTGTGTGGTTTCAACCTCTTAGTGACAAGTGAAGAGGAGACCCAGCCTTTCTTATAGATTCTTGTGTGGGGAAGATGGAGACATGCAGGAATGAGACATCAGTTATTGGCAGTCCAACATAAAATAATATAGAATCTTGCTACCTATTTCCCTTAACAATTTTAATGAATCATCAAAAATGAGATAGTCATTATTTGCTGACAACAACCAAATCTATAGAAAATGAGTGGGATAATGATTATAAGTAAAATCATGTTGTTGATGATGGTGATGATCATGATGATAATGATGGTGTCCAAGATGAACTGAGGAAGGGGTCCTGGTCCAATGAAATGAAGGCTCATCCAGTGAGTTGTGTCCACTCTTCCCTGTAAGTGTTTAGAGATTTTATAAATGGGACCCGAATGAATTATGCAGCTTCAGGAATCCAAGGTGAGATCAGATCAGTAATGACCCCAAAGGTGTCCAAGTGGGAATACCCTGGACCCGGGAAGGTGTCACCTTCTAAAACAGAGACACTGTGAGAATGTGCATGTTGGAAACAGGGTCCCCTTCCCACCAGTTTGCAGCGACAGATTCCTTATTTCTCTTGATCCCTGCCTGCATGATCTTTCTCATTTCTATTTCTAACAACTCCTGCTCATCATTTTTTGGGTATTTCCTATGATGATACAAGCTGTCTCTATCAGTGGAGGCTCAGCATTTTCTGTGAATTCTTTGTAAAATCACCCCCATTAAGGAAAATTTTGTTAAATCAGCCTCTGTTATAATTAAACACATTTTCCCACCAAAGCTTTCATTAAGCAACTTAAAATACAAACATATTTAAATAATATATTTCCAAATCACTTGTGATTGGAGAATATATACATTTATACAATAAGGATGTTATATATTATGGGGGGGGGGGCAGCACCCTCTGACCACACTGACCAACCCCAACAAAGGACAGAGGGAGGCTGGGAGTGAGGGATTCCTGTCAGGGTTGAGGTTTCCTTTCTAATGAGAAATTCCATGGTAGGAATTCTCACTCACCTCCCTCTGAGCTCTGACATCACTGATAAAACTAGACTGAGAAAACAGATCAATCTCATTCCATCATCATTTCAACATGTGAATGATTCCGAGTTGTACACATACATAATCACTGTTTTTACATCTTGTCTTTTCTTCACTTAAAACCATGGATAGCCTGACCAGTATCACTCAGTGGTTCAGCATTGACCCATGAAACAGGAGGTCACAGTTCGATTCCCAGTCAAGGCACAAGCTCTGTCTTTGGGATGGATCCCTGGTAAGGGGCATGCAGGAGGCAGCCAATCAATGATTTTCCGTCATCATTATTGTTTGTATCTGTCTCTGTCTCTCTTCCTCTGTCTGAAATCAATAAAGACATTAAAATATTTAAAACCATGACTATTTCTGATGTAACTATTTGGTGTCTCTGCAATAGGCCATGAGCTTGCATAAAGGAAGAGTTTGCACACAAGTTGTAGACACGATAAAATAATTTCCAACATCGAGAATCAAGAATGTCCCATCTGCCTATTCTTGAGAGATAGTTTCTGGGATCAAAGAAACATCATAAATTAAGATAAAATGTATTGAGGCTGGCTGTCCTTTATCTTTTCTTTTTTATACAAAGGTAGAAATTATTTGTATGAGATTATGAAATAAATATTTGGAAATTGTCGATACATTAGAATGTTCAGATTCAGAAATGGTATGCACAAATGCTAATCCCTTTTACATCTATTTTAAATGTGGCTGAGAAGGTAAAAGTGTAACCTGCTCATCTTGTCCATGTTTCTTCTTATGCTCAAAAAGGTAAGGCTGTGATTTGACCTGAATCCAATGAGTCTCATGACCCAGGTGGTCCCCTGTCCTTGACTTACATGCTGAGTGAGGTCAAGGGATCCACAGGGACCCCAGAATGACCAGGGAAGCCTGACCTCAGGCCCTACACTTATAGGAAAGGCTTCCCCACATGCAAATATCTCTTCAAGCTCCAGGGTACATCCTCTCCTGGGCTGTGCAGGCTCACAACTCTCTCCACACACAGGGCTGAGGTCTCTGGGAAGGCAGAGCTGTGGTCTAGGAGAAGATGAGACTGCTGGGTCTTCTCCTGTGCCTGCTGACAGCCCCCCAAAGTAAGGGTCTCAGGGGTCAGACAGGGGTCATGGGATGGCTGTGACTGCACTTGACTGGCAGGACTGATGCTCCTTGTCCCCAGGTGCCCAGTGCCAGGTGCAACTGCAGAGGTCGGGCCCAGGACTGGTGAAGCCCTTGCAGACTCTCTCCCTCACCTGCTCTGTCTCTGGCTACTCCATCACCAGTGGGTCCTGCTGGAATTGGATCCACCAATACCCCAGGAAGGGGCTGGAGTAGATGGGGTGCATACGTTATAATGGAGACACTACAGCCCTTCCCTCAAGAGCCGAACCTCCATCTCCGTAGACATGTCCAAGAACCGGTTCTCCCTGCAGCTGAGCTCCGTGACCACTGAGGACACAGCCGTGTATTACTGTGTGAGACACACAGTGAGGGGAAGTCAGTGTGAGCCCAGACACAAACCTCCCTGGGGGAGACAGGAGGCTCAGGACAGCAGGATACACTAAGGATACAAGGGGGCTCTCAGGACCAGCAGAGGGCCCAGGACAGAGACCTACCCAGCATAGAGACCAGACCCAGGAGCTTCTGTGGACTTGGTGGGGAAGAAAGTGTCTACCTCCTGGGCCCAGGGGTTTCCTCTCAAGGCTCAGCTGTCTCCACGGACACTTCCTTCTTTGTGGCTCTAGTTTCTCGTGGCCTTACTGCAGACACAAATGAGGGAGGGACACTGCCCATTTGCAGATGAGATACCACCATGCCTAGTGACCCTTTCTTCACTGCATTCCAGTATGTCCTTTTTCTTTCTTGACAAAGACCATCCTGACTGCTTTCCTCTTCCTGTGGCTGGAAACTTTCCCACCAAGAACAACCCCAGCACAGCTCAGGCCCCTGAGTGCTGAGCTCAGACTCTGTCCCCCACAAGCCCATATGCCTCCACTTCTCTCCTGCCTCCTCATAGGCCCACCTGCCCTTAGGGGTTATGATCATCCAACAGGACCTCCACCCACAGGTGTGTGTCTATCTGACCACACGTAACCCTCTGGGTGCTCAGTGACTTGGTTGCATGTGGAAACCACCTCAGCAGAACCCACTGTCGCCTGCTGTCCTAGTTCTCACCGACTCAGACCTAGACTCTGAGCTCCACAGGCCCGGGGCCCTGCTCTACCACATTACCTATCACAGAAGACACTTTCAATCAATAAGGGACCACTTGTGTCCCAGATTCAGCTCTGAACATGTCTGTATAATATTAACATGAAAAACCATTGAAACCTGTAAAGAATTTTGTGAGTTTATTTGAGCCAAACTGTCCACATATGCTGGAAAGCAGAACCTCAACGGATTGAGATAATGCTCCAGAGAATGGTGGGTTACATCTGTATTTATACATTACAATCAAAGGAAATGGACGTAGGTGGGTTACATGAAATTCATTGGTGATAGATTAAGGAGGTGGGATAAAGCAAAGCGGGGAGACCTCTGGGATAGGGTAAAAAGTGAAATGATGAACATGTGCTTCTTTGACACAGATGGATACAGGATAGTTAACATACTTAACAGTTGGCAAATAACTTGATAACAATAACAATGAGAGAATGTCCTGGTGCCATTTGCTGTGCCCTGAGAGGTCCAGAAAAAAAGGGAAATTACAAGTTACCCAGTCATTTCTCCTCTTAGAGGCAAAAAGACAAATGTGCTCAGTAAAGACCTAAGTTGATCTTTGTCAGGGAAAATAATGGCCTAGGACATGACTACCTACCATAACCTGTTTATAGTTAAGTATTTAATGTTCAGACCATCTTTTGTGGTTATTTTAGGTCTTTGAGTTTGTACAACTGCCACGCAGGCCTTCCCTGAACTAATCAGGTTAGAATATGACCCCTTTCAACCACACCACCATGAACACCCAGGTCCACCAATTTGTGGGAATTTGGGCTTCTAAATTCCACATGATGTTCCTGTGTTGCATGGAGGAAATTTCTAATTTTAAAATGTTCAGGTAAAGTTTTACTTTCATCAGTTTTACATGACATTGTACAATGGTATTTCCAGGAAAACTATGAAGACAGAGGAGGGAGGTTTCCAGTCCCACAGGCCTGTGGGGAAGAGGGTGTCGGTGCCTCCCCAGGACTCAGATCACACTCACTGCTGCTCTCTGCAATGCACAGCGGGTAGGAGAGGCCCACATGTGCAGGCACCCTGAGGCCAGAGTCAGGTGGGGCACTCCTTCCTCCTTTCTGATTGAGTGCCACTGACTAGTCGGCCTACACACAGGGAAGGGTGTTCTCCAGGAGGCTCAGGTGTCACTAGCAGACAAGGAACCCTCACTGACAGCCCACAGCCTGTGAAACAGGCAGGGTTGGGGGGGGTGAGGTGGGGTGCAGGGAGCATGCCATTGCCCTGAGCCCAACCTGTTTAGAGAAGGAGACCTTACCTAGGGACTGGGGGACACCTGGTGCTGAAGGGCACGATTGTGGGGAACTGACAGGAATTGGTCCTAAAGGAACCTGTGGCCAATGTCACTAATCCTGGGACAGGTGTCCACAGTGCAAGGCCAGCTGCTGACCAGGTCCCCTCTCCAGGCCTGAGTCTCAGACTCACTCAGGGCTGTTACAGACCTACAAGAACTGCACAGGACTCCAATGTGTGGTGCTCAAGCTTTATTACAGACACTGCCAGCGAGCTGTCAGAGAGAGTGGTGTGAAAACATCCAAGGTGCACTCACCCTGGATATGGGACAGGACCCCTGCAGCCGCTCAGAAGTGTAGGCTTGAGCTCTGAGAGCGGGTTATTATGACTTTTTTATAGGTGTTTCTTCATGTTGCCTGAGCTGTACAGTGGTTGGTAGGCTGGCTTGCTGTTTAATTTTTAAATTCCACTTCAGTGACTGGAGTGGCCTCGATAGCTCTCACATTACTGGCTATGCCGAAGAGGATTGCAGCTATGAGGGCAAGCAAGCGACCAAAAGCGATTCTCAAATACATCATTGACATAGGATTTGTCCTCACTGACCGAGTTCTTCTTGGAGGGGGTCCACTGTTCACACTCCCTCCGGCACCGTTATTTATGCACAGGGGAGGGTCCCAGCCTACATGACAATGGCAGTTCCCTTGGTTGTTGCACACGCCCCTGTGGTTGCATTTGGAAGGGGGGCAGTCGTAGTTTATTTCTTCTATGGAAGAATTGCAGGAGCCCTTGTAACAGAAGGCGTTATCACGACAGGGGGTACCAGTTCTCACAAAACCAACGTCGGTTGCTCCTGTTCCACGGTGTGTATCCAGTCCAAAACACCAGGTGTTTCGAAGGAGAGACTGATGGAAACTCACATGTTCCTGCATCCGAGGCATATGAGTGATGTTCACACACTGTAGGCGTCCACACAGATAGTCATCGCCATAACAACGGCCTGGATTGAACAGATGAGTAATTTTACAGTGTCCAAATCGGCTTCCCTGCCTATTAATTTCGTAGCAGTGTTTTGGAGCATTCAGCGCGCCTTCCCCAAAGATCTCCTTGCAGTGCACACTGCGGTCGGTACAATTGCCATGATAGCAGTAGCCGTCCTCGGTGCACGGGGTTCCATCTTGGAGATAAAAATTCCCAGGGCACCTCGTGTCCTGCCCCATGCAGTACTCCGGAAGATCACAGATGTTCTGGATCGGTCTGCAGAGCGTCCCCGCAGGTGTGTAGGTGCAGTTTGTGCAGCATATTTCTCTGTTACAAATGCTTCCGGGTGTGAAGTAGCAGTTGGTTTCACAGCAGGTGTTGCTATAGCACTCACTGAAGGTCCCACAGTCACACTGCTCTGTGTCTTCCACCTCAGAGTTTCCACATCGAGTGACTGTCAGGCTTTCGTTTACATGGACAAATTCAGTTAAGTAGAGGCATGCTGCATAGTTATCACTATAGGAGTTTTGTAGGTGTACCACAGAGCAGTTGCTAAAGGCATCTGTCAACACAGGGTACCTGTTCATGATGCAGGTGGTCCTTCGCTGGCAAACACAAGACTTTTCATCAAAATCCAGACCCATTGTCCTAGCAACTTGCTGGGTGGCTATAACCGCCAACAATAATATATGTCTGTACAGGTGACCCACATAGACCAGACTCCTGGCTGAGCACAAACTGTTCCCAACGGGATTAAAATTAAGTTCATGGGGTGCATCTTTTAGCATCATTAAGCCTGTATATGGCTTAAATGGAATATAAATTTTGGCCTGATAATTCTGAGCAAATGGACCTTGGGGTACCGCAAAGTTGTTCATATCGGCTGGATCCCTCTGATTATAAATGACCATGATGCTGATGTAGTACCTTATGTCAAGGCCTCGGAACATGGAGTCCATTAAACTCCCTAGATATACTAGGAATTTGATGTTTTCTGACATATTTGTGTACAGAGTATAAATGGAATTTGAACTCATGAGGCAGGCTTTCATGTTTCCTCTGTGGGATGCATAGAGCTTACTGCTGACCCTGGAGGCTGCACTGGTGTTCACGTTGGACAGCAGGGGGTGCCCCTGTGCCTTGTATCCCAGCCTGGTCATGGGTCCTGTGGCGTTGGTGTCGGCTAAGATCTGAGAAACGATGTGCTCAAACCTCTGGGAATCCTTGAGGGGTTTGATTTCATAGGCAAGGTCGTCCACCTTCATGATGCCTTCCAGGCCCCCATAGCATGTGTCCACGGTGACCATGGAGAGAGGGACGTCCTCCAGGTAGCCCAGGTAGTAACAGTCGAGAGGGAAAAAGGGGGAGTCCACCTGCAACGCCCCCTGGTCATCCTGAGTCATCATCACCACCTGTCCAGGCCAAAAGAGTCTCTTGCGCCGCATGTGGAGGACGTGTCTCTGGCCCCCAAACCTCAGGCTGTAGGAGAGCCAGCCTGCTGCCCACACGGCTTTGCTGTGGTGCAGCTCCTTCCTGGGAATCACCACCTCGGAGGAGATGTAGCGCCAGGAGGGACGACTTTGAGAACACTGGGCAGGAGCCATCACCACCCAGAGCCCAAGCAGCAAGAGGGGTGTCGTCCTCAGGGTGACGGGGCCCCCTGCCAGCCTCATGCCCTTGATGGGGGAGAACCGTCGATGTGAATTGAGAGAGGGGGGGTCCTCAGTGAAGTTGGGTCCCCACCATCTGTCGTGGCCACTTCCTGCCAAGAGGATAGTGACCGAAAACCCACCCTGGCTGTGTCAGCTGAGGTAACAATGACAGGGCGTGGCAGTGGGTGGGGCTGGGCATGCATACAGCTGGGGTGGAGGTGGGGGAGGTGAGAGGCAGGTCTGAATGCTTAGGTGGAAATAAGAGAGAAGGAAGTAGGGCCGTGTCTCCCCTGCACACCTCAGGCTTCCCTCCAGCGACCTGCACACATGCTGTGTAGTTTCAGCAGTTAAAGTCCCTACAACCCTATTGGCTCTGTGAGCCTGGGTCACTTCCCAGGGGTCACTGTTTTCCTTTTTATGTGGCCTCTTCTCCCTAAGCCTCTGGCAGGCCAGCTGGGCTTTGTTAATTTTACCCTCATAGGTGTTGAAAGGCTTTAAATTGTAACTATATGTATCTCTTCTGGTTTGCAGCTAATTAGTTTCCAACCCTGAGCTCCTGCTGATTGCTGCTTGGAAGCTCTTTGGGGCCTAGTGAGGGAAGTGTCTCCCAGTCTCTACCTGAGGCTTCCTGCATGAGCTTTTCCTTTTCCTCCTCCAGCTGGTGACGGTGACGGGAAGGACTTCTGGCCCAGTGGGAGCCATGGGGTTGTTCCCCGGAGTCCTTCCCTGTGAGTCTCTCCTGGCCTTTGAGAGATTCTTCGTCTGCACGTGCTGACCAGCTCTCCCTGAAGACACGGCAGGCCTCTGTGGGTGTCTGACGAGAGATGTTATGGAATGTGGGATTTATGAAATCGGCACAGAAGTGACAGTCAGACACTGTGAGGTTCGGGAAAGAGCCTTTAATTAAAGCAGCGCTGCTGGTTCAGGGGACTCTAAGAACTGCCTGGACAATGAGATTTCTCTACATATATTGAAGGGGTTAAAAAACAAAACAAAACAGGGAAGAGAAGTATTTATTGTGCTTAGCAGATATCTTGTAGAAAGCTTGCAGCCTTGAGCACAGCATAGCTCAGATAACCAGGAGACACCTGGCATGGGAGGAACTAAGGATAGACCAAACCCTTCTCCCACATTCTTTCACAAATGAAGTTAATTACAGAAAGCAAGAGAGTGCAGTAGAAAGCAGTTTACTGGGACTAATTCAGATTGCTACCCCCCCTCCCCAATGTCTCATTTTCCCTATCATGTGAACCAGTATTTTACACGTTTTTATCTAATTGTGCAGTGTCTTTAGGAGAGGATGGGAAATTCACTCACAATTCGCGATAAGAATTGATCATTGTTCTTCAGCACAGAGTGGCGATTGCCCTTTTATTAAAGGCTACAGTCACTTTTTGAGCATAATGTAGTCACGGGTGTATTTCCGTGTTGGGAGCCATTAGAAATATTGGCTTAGACAAAGCCATCTTAAGAACTATAAGTTTCTGGTTCCTTCGGAAACTCCTAATTACCAGAAACCACCTGTGTCTTGCAAATTGGCCAGGAGTTAAAAGATAACCCACCCTTTACCCACCCTTTACCCACCCCCCGTCCCTAAAACAGTATATATTCTGCCGCTGTAAGAATAAAGTTTGAGGCTTGATCAGAA